CATCGGCAGCTACATTTAAACAAATATATATATTTTAATACATAAATTATTTATTTTTAGTTATTCAAATTTTTAGTTTTTCGTTTAGATTGTTTCTATCGGAGAGTCATTGGATGTTGCCCATAGCCATTGGAAAATGCTGCATGGGAAAGATGATAACAAAGATGAAGGGAAAGATGCCTACAAACGTCTCGATTCAGTGGAGGTAGTTGTTTAATTACTAATGCACTTCAATTTTGCATACTTATAATTGTTTGATTTGTTTGCAGTCATCATAGGAGCAGTAAATGGTGTTCGGTGATTCTGCCAATTTAATATGAAGTATCCGACAAACGCCAGCAGTTACTTGAAATCAACTTTTTTAAAGATCTATATATAAGGCGTAAAAACGCAATCAAATTTTGCAAAGTTGTAACGAAACCGATTTTTTGTGAACCAATGTAAATGATTTGCAACTGTTAATATATATCAAAAGAAGGGTAAATCGATTACCTTTCTTTTGATTGTAATATTGTTAAAATCGCTTAAATATTTTATAGAAATTTTGCAACTTTTGTAAACATCTATATGTAAGCAGTGAAAAGGTCGTAAAATTTTGCAAAGTTGTAATATAACTGAATTTTTCTGAACCAATGTAAATGATTTGCAACTGTTAATATATATCAAAAGAAGGATAAATCGATTACCTTTCTTTTGATTATAATATTGTTAAAATCGCTTAAATATTTTATAGAAATTTTGCAACTTTTGTAAACATCTATATGTAAGCAGTGAAAAAGTCGTAAAATTTTGCAAAGTTGTAATATAACTGGATTTTTGTGAACCAATTTAAATGATGTGCAACTGTTAATATATATCAAAAGAAGGATAAATCGATTACCTTTCTTTTGATTATACTTTTGTTAAAATCGCTTAACTTTTTTATAGAAATTTTGTAACTTTTGAAATCATCTATATGTAAGCAGTGAAAAAGTCGTAAAATTTTGCAAAGTTGTGATAAAACTGAATTTTTGTGGACCACTATAAATTATTTGCAACTGTTAATATATATCAAAAGAAAGGTATATCGATTACATTTC